ACACTGCAAATAGTTTCCCCTTACCCAATCCTGGTGTAAATCTTGAGTTTCCTAGATAGGCTTCTTTAAAACCAAGATTAAGTAAAAAATATTAGCTATTTTCAATTTCACAGAGAAAAAAAGGATAATATATTTAAAAAAAAGTTAACTGAAACCAAATTTTATTCTAGATTAGAGATTGGCAAACGTTTTCAATAAAGAGTCAGATAGCAAATATTTTAGGCTACTATGAACTCTTTGGGTCACATATGGTTCTCTGTTGCCTTTTCTCCTTCTTTCCTTCCTTTCTATAAAAATGCAAAAAATCATTCTTAGCTTTAAGGCATACAAAAATAGAACTTAGACTGTGACCCCTACTATAGCTTGAGTTCTCCTTAAACTTGTTTTTTACTTCAATATAATTTCAGAAATTGACAGAAACCCCAATTCTATATTGTTTAAAAAAGGAAATGGAACTTGGAAGTCATACCGGTCTGGAGTTGAATCCTGCTTTCATCGTTTACTAGCTTTGTGGCTTGGGCAAGTTATTTATGAATAACTGCTGGGATGCTCATCTTTCTCATATGTAAAGTAACACCAAGACTACCTGGCTGAGTGTGGTTGTCTGGATTTAATGAAATAATTTGTGAAAGGTACTTTGCCTAGTGATTCTTACATAATGGAGCCTCAACAAATGTTACCTCCTTTCCTCCATTCCTCTTCTTGTTTCACAACATTTTCCATCCATTTTTTTCCCCTTTCTTTGAATTGTTCTAGCAAAATTCTAGGCTGTCTCTTCTGTTATCTTAGTATTATAGAACTCTCAGTTTGACCTAATTTGAGTGTTTTGGGTGAAAGAGGAAACTTTCCTTCTGTCCTCTCTGAAGATTCACTGGAATGAGCTGACAGTGGACAGATTGACAGGGAAAAAGGCATATAAATGTATTAAAGTGTACATGGACACAGGTCCCGAATGAGGCTCAATGGCCAAGAGCAGGAGGTGGGGGGAGGTGTAAACAGTTTTAGAAGTAAATGATTGTGAGGGAAATGATTGAGCCCAAAGAACAATTAATTGGTCTGGCCTGGAACAAAGTTTCTCTGAGCTCTGGGAGAGTTTGAGGCAAATTACAGGAAGGTGAGGGGTGAAACTTCACTGTGAACAAAGGTGGTCTTATTATGAAGGTAGAAGATCCCAGATAATCTCTTGGAGCTGCCCTCAGAAAAATAGGTGAAAGGTCTGTCTGGGTGTGGTTACAATTTTTTGTGTTTTCTCTGGTGGTTAATCTTTTCTGGTTATTTGATGAGATTTTTGGGGCAGGAGTTTTAAGACAGTTGCATTTCTTCTGGGAGGAGCTTCCCTTAATCAGATAAGGGAATGTCAGAGAAAGCCCCTTTTGGTGCTTCTGACAAGAAAAGGAGTAAGAGAGAGAGAGTAGGGGAAGGTCAGAGAGAGACCTTGGTTCTGAGGCTTATTTCTAAGGACTTTCAGTTTTCTTTAATTCAAAACACTCAGTATGATGAAGTACCATATTTCCGGGTATTTTCTGAGCCCCAACAAGTCAAATTTGTCAACATTTTAACTACTTTTGGGACAAATTATGAGTTTTACTTACTCTCACATATAATTCCTATCCACCAAAGGCAGTCACTCCTCGATCTCTTCAGTAGTGCCCTATAGCCTGTATTTTTAAAATATATTAATATATACTAGTGGCAAAACTTTCATGTGAATTTTAGAGAATTTTTCCTAGAATTCTATAAAGAATATTCATATTCTTGTAGATTCTAAGAGAATTCTAAGAATATATATTTAGAATATAAATATAAATACTCTAAAATATATTTAGAATATAAATATCTTGTAGATTCTAAGAGAATTCTTAGAATCTACAAGAATATAAATATTTTGAACCATATGCTAAAGTAGTAGATAAAGCTCCAAACTAGAAAAAAAAAGAAGATATATATGGAGGTGGGGGTAGGGATGGATAGTTGTTCATTTTGCTAAAGGAATCTTAAACTTTACTATTTTGTTCAGTTGCCTTTTATGATTATTTGAACCCTACCTGTAAATCTCTATTAAAATCACCAAGAGCATTTCTGGTTGGTTGAATAATAGCAAGTGTTGCTTGAGAGATTTTTTTTCCTTAGAATTTATGCTCCTCGAGGTTGCAACTATGCATATTTTAAATCACTTTTAGTCTGAAATATTCATTGACTAAAATAGCAAACAGTTAAGTATGTCTTCTTTATTGTATTGTTAGCTTCTTGTCTTTATTTTATATGTAGCCTCTCTACTGCCCTTCAATGTTGAAGCAACCTAGCACAACCTGAGGCCTGTAGTTCAGTAATGACCAAGACAGCCTTAATGTTCCCTCAGTGTGGCTAAACTTTTGACAGGTTTCTTCCTGACTGTAGGCCCCTGACCTCCATTTTTAAAGCACATTTACCTAAGAAAACTTGAAATTGAAAATTCTTTCACTGCCCCTTTGAAATATAAATCTTTGGCCAGCCTCTTGCTAGTTTTACAACCCAGGAATGGGACTCATCCCTTTGCAGGATAGTAGTCTCTGTGGGAGGTAGGAGCCTAAGCACCAATTAGCCAACATAGATGGCTTATTCACATTGGCCAACCTCCCCGTAACTTCCTCTAGTACTTTTACACTAGCTCTCCCCAGAGCTTAAAAACTTTACTGCCTCTTGTTTCAGTGGATTTGAGTTCAAATTTTCTCCCCTATTGTACTAGTCTCTCCCCTTATCACAATAGTATTGAATAAAGTCTTCCTTATCTGTTTAACTTGTCTGGTACAATTTCCCTTTGACAGTGACCGAGAGTAAGGCTCTATGGTCAAAACTGCCATAGAATCCTGACTTTATTTTGCCATACAATTCACATAACCTCACTAAGCTTCAGGTTCCATGCAAATAAAATAAGAGATAATGGTACCTCCCTATAGGACTTCTCTGATGATGGCATAGGTCAATGAATGTAAAGTACTTGGCATACTGTATGGTACATAGTAGGTACTCCATAAAATTTAGGACTTAATTTTGGGGCTGATGACTACATAAAAAGCCTCTTGATAGCTCTTTTTTAAAATAGTAAACTTGTCTCCTGTATCCATTTGCATAAATATGATTCCATTTGCTGAATTATTAATGTATACTTTTTTGGGATATCTGCTTTGCAATGTGAAGTCTATTTGGTTCTTGAAATAAAGACAAAAATGCATCAGAAACAGTGAAGGCAAGCAACTGGTTTTGTATCTGGTCCTGAAGAGTCTAGTTTACTTAGGGCAGTGAGATCAGTTACATGTGAGGCCATGTTGAAAAACAGTATCTGTGGGAAAGAGAGACAAACTGAAATATTTGTTTTCAGACAGTCTAGCAAGTTACTCCAACAAATGAAAAAAACTCTGTGCTCTTTATATTTTAAAGTTTAAAATATCTCCTACTTAGGCTACCCTAAAGCCAAAAACTTAAACTAAAATTCAAATGCTGAGTTTTCTTTTAATAGATATTATATTTTAAAGTACAGATTATGTTTCAATACTCTACTATCTTGAAGCTGCATTATGAAACTTTGCCCAATTTGCTAAATTTTAAAGAAACGTATATGAAATGATACCTTTGAAAAGTTGAAACTGCTTTTTTTTTTGTAGGGGGGGAGTATGGTCACATATAGTTGGAAACTACTATTCTCTGACTACATGTCATAATAAATGTCTAGTCACAACAGTTCTCCATCCAATGTATGCTATATTTGTAAAACTATTCCTCCCATCTTCCTTCTCTTTCCAAAAGTAATCTGAGGTAAATTCACTTGAATTGTTATCTCACTTTTTAACGATCTAAATTCTGTCTGATAACCCTGCTTGCAATTTTGAGTGACTTACAAAGATAGTAGTGATGATCTGATAGGCCAGAAGTCCTGTGCTGATGTTCCATTCTTAAGTACAGATAACATGAGGGTATTTTTGTTGTTGTTTTTTGTTTGTTTGTTTGTTTTTGAATCATTACTTCATATAGTCTATTCACTATTTTTGAATTTCTTGTTAATATAACTCTTGTAACATTAGATTTACAATTGACCCTTAAACAATGCTGAGTTTGGGGCTCTGAGGCCCCTTGCACAGTTGAAAATTTGCATATAATTTTTGAATCCTCAAAACTTAAGTACTAATAGCCTATTGTGACCTTACCAATAAGATAAACAGCTAATGCATATTTTGTATGATATATGTATTATATACTTTTTCTTACAATGAAGTAAGCTCATAGTAAATATTATTAAGACAATCAGCCCTGGCTTAAGCATTATACAAGATATTCATGTAACAAAAACATTTGTACCCCCTTAATATTTTGAAATTAAAAAATAATAAATCATAAGGAAAAGAAAATATATTTACTATTTATTAAGTGGAAGTGGATCATCATAAAGGTCTTCATCCTCATTGTCTTCACGTTGAGTCGGCTGAGGAGGAGAAGGAACAGCCTGGTCTTGCTCTCACCTTCTCAGGGGTAGCAGAGGCAAAAGAAAATCCATGTAAAGGTAGACTTACAGTTAAAACCCGAGTTGTTCAGGGTTAACTGTCTATTTTTTGAATGTTTGCTCTCATCTTTCATTTCTCCTTCCTGCTTAAAACAGTGTTATTTTTCAGGGACGGGTCACAAGAAAAGGCAGAGCATCATAAACTGCATGAATTCAGATAAAAAGACATATTGTGGTTTATGATATCTAGATGCCCACCTGGAGGGAAGGGAATTTAGGCGCAAAATAGATTAAAAATCTAAGTCAACTCAGAAATAAGATATGCCAATGATGAAGTAAGGATTTAAGTTGGAAAGTTAGTTATTATGGCCCCCAATTGTATGTACTTTATCCTTAGGTACCATTTGGTTTAATAAAATGTAGATCTGAGGCTGTTCTTAACCTATCAGTTTCTGAAGACTTAATTAAAAAGGTTATATTTTCAGAGGACAAAAGCATTATTCATTTGTCTGTTCATGTCTTCCAGGTTTATCTTGCAGATTATGGACTTTCCTACAGATATTGTCCCAGTGGGAGCCACAAACAGTATCAGGAAAATCCTAGAAAAGGCCATAATGGGACAATAGAGTTTACTAGCTTGGATGCCCATAAGGGAGTAGGTGAGTTTCTTTTTTCTTTTCCTTATTTTTATTTCAAAGGAATGATTAGAGTCAAGGGTAATAAGGCTGCATGAAATGACCTTTGAATAGTTAGTTTGAAGAATGAGAGCACTAGTAGGATTTTTTTTCAAAAGTAGTGAATTCCTGATATGCCAATTAATATTTCTTCTAACAGTGGGAGGAGATACAGACTAGGACAAGTGATGAGGGAGCAAAAGAGTATCAACATAGCAAAACATGATGCTTGTTTTTTCCAGAAAATCACTAGTTTGTATAGGTTAAACTTGGAGGTCAGCCTTGAATTTTTATGCTTTAGTGAATATCACAGATTTAGTAAAGGTGCACATGTAAATGATTATTCCTGTTTTTTCCATTATGCCATTATCAGAGCTTTAGAAGATACCATCTCTCAACAATAAGGATATCTTTTCTGAAACTATAAAGTGTTAACTTGTAGAAATCTCTCCTAGTTGCCTTTCATATATCTTACTTATTTAAACTCACTTTGATGGTATTGGAAACACATTTGCAGGTAAATTACATACATAGTCCTTTTATTGGATATTGATTGTACTGCCTTGCATTCCAAGGCAGACTTAATTCAACAATTCCCTAATTAGTTAAAGTCATAACCTATGTCTTGTATTCATTTACCATTAATTAAACCTTAGCTGTTTATTACACTGCAGTCCAAATCCAATAGCCGACCCAGAAAGCCATGGAAAAGGAAGTAGAAGGTCAATATTGAAAATATATGGTGCAGAGTCCCACTGATGGTTGCTTTGTTCACAATCAATATGGTCAATGCAACTGTACTTTCTTAGTTGCTCTGTCAGCAAGACAAAAAGTCAATTCTAATGTTATGCTAGTGAAAAAATGGTGATTATTGAAAAACTTTGGCTTTCAAAATTATATTCTTTGTAAACTTTGTTTATAAAAGTATTTTCAAATATGCTAAACCAAACAAGTAATTTTTAAACAGCTTTGAAAGGACCACATTTTCACTTAATAATTAGACATTTGCACTTATTAATGGTTGTTGAACCCTAAACTGATACTTTCTAACAAGTTTTAGTTGTTAAAACAATGGTATATTATTGCCTTTTCCATTAAAAGGGTCATTGACTATGTAATGTAGAAAGTCTTGATCATTTTCCAGAGCAATTAAGATCCACACTAGTTTAAGGTAGGCCCGATGAAGAAGTGAAACAAGTCTATCAGTTGTATACTTTCTTTTCAGAAAGAATCATCAGTTAAATTTTCTGAAATGGAAATTAGCTTTTGTATTCCTGATCAGAATAAAAGAAATCACTACATTTTTTTTTTCAAGTATAGTTTGGTTTAAAAAGTAATGATCACTCAGAAATTTTGTAGTGTTGAATAATTTTTTGCCATTCACATTGTTATAAATCAGTGAATACTTAAAGATAAAATGAGATGTATCTCTAATTAAATTAAGAAATATAAGAATTAAATGCTCATTGATAGTGGGTTTTTTTCCAATTTAAAGTTCTTTCACTCTTAGTCAATTTCATTCTTCATCTTTGTCAGATTTATTCTATTATACCTAATAGAATTTTCAGAAGCCTTAAAGTACTTTTTAGATAGTGGTATAACTGGAAATTCATCATGCAAATTCATAAGCATTGATTCAATTATATTAATAATGATATGAGCTTGTGATTGGGCCTCTTATTTTAACTGATATCTCTAATATTGCTTCAACCTGGTTCTGAGTATTAAAATAGCTAAGAAATTATTGTGATGTGAAGGAGAAGTAGAGTTGTTATGTGTTGGTCTGGTCAATGTTTGGACTGTGGTAATTTTGAAAGTCCTCTTGAGTTACTTTCATAGTTTTAGATACTGTCATTATACTGTCTTGATGAAAGATTTGAACAGATTTTTATTCTGTAGCCTACTTAAATTTTTTTCTCCCTAAATCATAATACATGTTGAATGTGTTGGGTAGATTTCACCACACCAGGTCTTTGGGGAGAAGATTGAACTGAGAATGATCCTAGAAAGATGACATTACATCCCTAGGAGGAATGTTTTTGGTAATTACTAGAAAGTTATATGCTGGAATGAATATTCATTTTTATCAAAGATTTCTCAGGATTCCTATAAAATAGTAGATTCTTTTAGTGCATTTTAAATAGGATATACACTAAACTTCTAGGCATACCGGTATCTCTATATTATTAATAGATTCAGATATAAATATAGATATACATACATACATATATGCACATGCATACACACATATACATAGATACATACACACATATTTGCTGACAATATGCAGTTTTAGTCTGCAGTATAAAATAGAAGGTTTGATATCTTCAAATGTTTGAATAATAATCATTCCTAAGGTTTTATATTTAATTTTCCAAAATAAAACATCTCAGTTTAGGATTTGATTAGAAATGTAATAATCATTTAGCCATATTTAGGAACCAGAATAAACAGTGCTATAAGTCCTTATAGGTAAATGAAGGTCAGATTTATAAATATTCATATGTTTACTTTGAGTACAGTCACTATGTAGTTTAATCTCAGAAAAATCTTTTCTATACCAGTCCAGCTATGAGATAAAATAAATGCTGAGGAAAGATAATGCAAAGGAAAGCATAAAGACCAAAAATATTATCATTAGGATATAGAACTTCTAGTTGCCAAAGCAAAAATGTTAGGTATATATATCTGTGTCTGGTCAGGCCAAGAGAAATATGCAGGCTTCAGTGTAAAACTGACTTATGAGTTAAGTGCTAAATAGGAACTGTTAACCTGATTAGACTATCCAGTCTCTGCTACTTTTTATCGTGATCATTCAAAAAATGAAGCTAAATCTCATTTTTCTGTGGATTAATTGGGTTTTTGTAATCAGCCATTTCACTTAACCATTTTCTAATTCAACTTTATGTAAAAGGAGGGTAGTTAAAAGGCAAAGAAAGAAAAAAACCATTTTATCTATTATCTTGTGTTATCACAAACCAAAAAATACACATAGAGATAGCTAGAGATGGATGGACAGATGGATGAATGGATAGATAACTATTCCTAGAACTGCCATACATCTATATTTCTACATATATTTTTGAAAACTGTGGTTATTCTTCCAAACCCAATTCTCTTGTGTGACTTAGAGGTATTTTCTAAGTGGCTAAAGTGTTTCATTTAGTATAAAATCAGAGTAATATATGTTGGGCTTATTTCTTCCATTATTAATTTTTTATTCTTCATAAAAACTAGCATGTATAAACATTGACATATTTTGGGCTTGTTGCCTGATAATTAAAGAGAATGATATTTGTGTCAAATATACTATTTTAAAATTTGTTACATTCTTAGGAATGTTAAGAAGCAATATTTGGATCAATGGTGTGATATAGATTTTTGTAGATTTTTCTACTCACTGAGGCATGCAGTCAATACCTAATTTCTCTAGAGATATACTGCATTTAACATATTGAGCTTTTTTAAATACTTCAGACCTGTGCATTGAGTGTATAATACCTGTTTTAATTTGACATCTTCAATGACCATAAAATATATTTAAATTGCATTTTAACTGTCCATTTGTTTATGTAATATATTCAGTATCAAGGAAAGAAATATGTTACATACTTTATTTTTGCCAATTGCTGTGGTATGTGAAATCTAAGGCTTGTGTTATTTCTTACATGGTTTCATTTTACTCTAATCTAATACTTCAGCTTACAGAATACATGTGAAATAAACTGAGAATGTATTTTCATGTTACCAAACTTGGGGAAATAACATGGTTTACACACTACTTATCTTCTTAACCAATAATTAAAAAGAGGTAACCCATTTTTCTATTATGCTAAGATAGCAAGGTAAACCATCAAATTACTAACATTCCCTGTTGCATGTTAATAGAATAACATACTGTTTATTTCTTCTTTCATGTAAATTTGACTGCTATAAATAGTCTTTGAGTAAAACATAACCAATAATGAATACTTTTTTCTATATTGTCATAAGCCTACTTTTTATATTTAATCATGACTTTTAAAGTCTTGACATATACGTTGGCTTTTTAGTTGAACTATTTGGTTGGGTTAAGAATATGCGTTGGCCAAATGTAAGATACCTTTGCTCTTGTAGAGTAACCTTTCCTAAGTTTCACACAGTAGTGTTTCACAAAAAAGCTAGTAATTTAAAAACTTCTAAAAAAAAATGAGAAACCTGAATTTAATATTTTATTTGAAATATGACACATTGCATTCTACTTCCCTGATATCCTTCTTGAAATTGCAGTAAATCATGGTCACCATAAAATTTACCAGCTTTTTATATATCCTATTTGACAAAACACTGAATTACATGGGTTACCAGTTGGAAAACTAAGAATAAACTTTAAATTTGTTCTGCAGATAGTCACCATTCACTCTGTCAGGTGAGCATCTTATTCAGATGTTTTTTGCTTTCTTACTGTCATTTCTGAGCACAAATACTAATATTTTGGGCATTTAAACCCTGTCTGCTTGAGGCAAAAGTTATCAAGTTCATTTTATTATTTTCTACCAAACCTTGTTTTCTTCATATTCCATAATATTACTCTATATGAGAAATAAAACTAAACAGAAAATACTTTAAGCAAATAAGCAGAACCATTTTGGAATTAACTCTTAAGACTTTTCTTTTTCTTCCGATTCCTCTTTCCTTCCATTTAGTGAATGAGCCTGGTTAATTTTACTCCAATTTGTCTTTAGAATAAGCACTAGTTCTCTAAGATCACTTCTCTGTTGTTCTTGTACCAGCTTGGAAGGACCGTTTAACAGTTTAAAAATAAATACTTTGACTAGAGATCCTTCTTTATCAGAATGAAATAGCTTTAAAGAAATCATTTCATGAAAGGATGGTTGCATGAAAAAGTTGGTCAGTGATGCAGCTTAGTTATTCCTTGCCAAAACAACTATTTTTGTGTCAGTATGTCTTAGTGTTTTAAGTTAAAATGCCTGCTTTAAATATTTCCCTCACTACAGAAGTTATGTGTTGTTTCAATAGTGTTAAAACTAATAACAGAGGCAAATTAATTGTTTAGATTGAGCATAGGCTTTGGATTCTGAAAGACTCGGATTTCAGTTCTGAACTCTGTCAGTTTTTGCTCTGTGATATTGAGTAAGTTATTTAACTTCTCTGAGACGCTTGTTTTTCTTATTTGTTAACAGGGTTAATAATATGTACCTTATATTGTTTGAATGATTAAATGAGAGAAGCAGGTAGAGTGCCTGGCGTAGTAGCAGCTCTCCATAAATCATGTCAGTTTTTTCATTTTAATTATGCATTCCACTGTGAGCTGTTTTTGGAATCTTCTTTTTAGTGAAATAGAATTTAAGTCCCCACCTGTGCCTTTTTTATTGTTGTTACTCTTAGCAATACTTTATAATTTAGAAAAGTTGAACAATGAAAATACCACAGGCTTTCAACAAACAGTGATTTACATTGCTCTACGTTAGTAAGCTGAATATAAATCAGTTGCTAAATAATATTTAGAAGCTAACTTGAGAACCTTTATAGGAAAAATTTTATTAATAACTAAATTTGACTACATTTCCAAACAATAGTAAAAGTTTGATTTTTAGGACAGCCATATGAAAACATACAGTTAATGGTTATATTAATTACCAAATGCAGCTGAAGAATTTTATGTATTATAAATAAATTATGCAGATAGATGACTCAGAAATAAAACAATCCACAGTATGTTTCCTATCCAAATGAATGAAAATACATTAAAAAGAAATATATTGCCCAACATCATCTGATCTTAGAGCTGAAAATGTAATAGTGGTCAGGCCAGAATTGGATCTCCTTCCTAGTCCTAAGCTCTTTTCCATTTACTGCTTTACTTATTAGCATGTTTTAAAATGGATTCAAAAATTGTGTAATGAAAGAAGCAACTTTCAAATTAAAAAATATTTTTTATAGTTAGATATTAATATTCTTCAACTATGATCAATTCATTGTGTAAATTATACATGCACACATAGATTCTAATATTATCGTCTAGAATATTTGTTTTTAATTAATTTAACAGGTATTAAAATTACTCTTCTGTGTACAATAGATGGAAAGAAGACATAATCATTGGTAGAGTCTAGGATTTTAACTTCACTAAAACAAGTCAAACTTTTCGATTTGTTTCTCTGGGAGGGAATTTCAGATAGAGGTATGTACTCAGAAACATATTTAATGCTTTTGTCTCTTCAATGGCAGAAAAGGGTGACTATTTTATGTTCTTTTTAGCATTAAGTGTATTTCTGTAGGACTTAGTAGAAATAGTGGTAAAAATTTTCACCTAACCATAGTTATTGATGTATATGTTCAGTAAAAGAAAATAAGCAAAAGATCGGAAAATGTAGTATTTTAATTAGGTAAGACCAAATTATAATAGTGAAGTAAAGTTAACTCTCTAAGGGCTATTTCAAATGAAGACTAGTTTATGAAAGATTGGCTTCAGAAATCTAAATGACTTGTCATTACTTATAGCTTCATATCAATTAATCCCTCAGTTGGTAGAGGGGAGGGGGAAAGTGGCTAGGAAGGTTCATTCTATTTTAATTCTGATTGTTTTTTCTCAGAGGGCCTCTTGTATGTAGCCTGTGTCATCCAAACAGGTGCCAGAATATCATATTTTGAAAATTAGAGGATGTGAATTTTTTTAAGTGGTGGTAATCGGGAATTGCCATAATGGAAAAGGGACTTGTGAACACATCTGTACAAATGGAACCATTCCATTATTAATGGGAGATTTATTACTGAAGAAATCACTACAGAACAGTGTGGTAGAAATTGTGTTTTTATTTTAATGTGAGAGCCAAGTCTTGCATTAGGACATTGTTGAAGCTTGTGCAGAAAGCAAATGGCACCCATGGGACTGTAGCATTCTGCTAGATTGAAGGGCCTTTAATAATCCAATACTCTAATAGCAGTTAAGATAGAGTGTGTGTAAGAGCTAATCTTGTCTTCTGCTTTTATAATAACTTATGTATGGTAACCAAAAGAAGTTATGATGTGCTGGCAGCATTGTTCTTAGTAAATGACTTTTTAAATTAAAAACTAAGTTCACTGAGTAACTTTTCAGAGTTTATTTAATGAAATGTAATAAAATAGGATACCTGTTTACAGCAGATTTAACAGCCACTTATTGCTCTTAGGAGATTATATATCCCTACACAGATGAACATTCAAGTAATAGTAGAAATGTAAATACCAGCCTATTGTTTTATAACAATTTGGAATGGCTATAAAAATGAGTTTATTTTATGGGTATTTGCTAATGTTTTAATCATTATTTCAGTGATTTGTTAATAAGTATCAGTTATATTTGACATGTTTCTTAGATTTCATTGTCCATCTTTTGAAATAAGGTACTTAAAATATATAGAAAATTATGATGAAATTAGTCTACAGCATTTAATAGCTTGATATAAATATTTACAAGGGCTTGAAAATGTTCTTTTAATGTATTTTTCATGAAAAGACATTTATATTAAATTTTGAAAGCCTCTAGATGGCTTCAAAATCTACTCCCCACTGCCTTTCCCCCAACCCCTCGTACCATTGCTTCACTTTTATATTTTCTATTCGGCATATGGGACCAGAATTTTAGTTTGTTGCCGCTTTTATCTAAAAATAATATTTGTAAAATTTTCGCACTGTATATCCAAAGCAGTAGACATATTTTATTATATTTTCATATAACTGAAAAATCTTAAGACAGACCTGTTTTTTAATATTGCACACTAGATGGCAGTTTTGTCATATTCTTCCAACTTCAAATGTACTAGTAAGAGTGGAACAGGAAAGGCCATCAATGTTTAGTCTGCATTCAAAGGGTCTCTGCATGACCAGTGCAGACCCCATGGACTTCCTGGAACATATGTTAGCAATTTAGCTGCAGACATTTATTTCTTTGTTTTACTGCTTGGCTCTTTGAGAAAGTGTTGGTGCTGGGTTATGGGTTGTCTGGATCATGTCAGAGGCCATGGGGATCAAGTTCATGTGACAGACCAGACTAAGGAAAGATGAAGTTGGAGGAGGTGAGGAAACTGACCCTTACTTTCAACAGCAACAAGTCACTGCCTGTCTGTGGACTGGGACCAAATGCTTAGGCGTTTAAGTTTTACTCCAGCTGAACAAACAAAACACTTTGCCCATTTGGCTTTTTCATATTTCATCAATAGTAGTTCACTCAAACATTTCTCCATTTCTCAAGAACTTGCTTATCCCTCATCTTTCTCTCTTAATGCTTGCTTCTATAGCCCTGTCCAGACGAAGTGACGTTGAGATCCTTGGCTACTGCATGCTGCGGTGGCTGTGTGGGAAACTTCCCTGGGAACGGAACCTGAAGGACCCTGTGGCTGTGCAGTCTGCTAAAACAAAGTACAAATTTCCGAGTATTTCATCATTTACTGCAACAGGTCTGAAAGGAAGTAATATCCCAGAGAAGATTGGCATTCACCCAACATGACAACCAAAGCAGATTTCTTTAATTAGAAAAATGTATTTTTAAAAGCCAAACAACTAACACATAAAATCCGTTAATATAATACCTATAAAAGCACATGCATTTGAATTACAGTGGAGACTATAAAGTAAAATATCTATTCCTTTACGTGGTGTTTTCCAAAGCTTAGATTCTAGATGGTAGTGTTTTCAAGGAAGAGTATTTTCAAATTAGCATTATACAAGTACGTAGAAGTATTCTGAGCTTGGTATGATTGATACTAACTGTGCAAAGCAACATTGTGAAATGGGACAAGTAGGGCTTATATTTTTTTAAGTGAGAGCAACTTACCTCTTATTCATGTCATGGAGGAAGTATGTTTTGTTTCTTAAGAAATAAACAAAATTTTTATATGAGCTGTTTATATGAGATCTTACAGCCACATAAACATTTTTAACATTCCACATTCAATTTTTTATCACCTAGATTCTATTAGCATAAGAATTAGGTCAGACTAAGAATGGTGTGTGTTACTGTTTTACAGTTCTCTCACTAATCAGGCCTAAAAAAAAGTCAACTGCATATAGCACAGAATAGCCATTTTTTCATTATATACCAAGATATGCTCAACAGTAGTTATCCACAGGTCTCACAATTGGAAAAAGCAGCTAAGTTTTAAGTAGGACAAGTCACAACAGATGTGTACAAAAGGATGAAGGGGTAGCCAGTTCATAGAAATCAATCTTCAAATTCAGTGTGGCATCAGTTTTTAATAGGCTAGCCTGCAGATTCAGAGTAATACAGATTACATTTGTAAATACTGATCTATATTATATGAAATATTTCTCTCCTTGGAATGTTGGTCATCCTAGTCCCTTACCCCAAACTAAAACACTTATATAAGCCAATATTAGAACTACATTAGTTATTTACTGCAGTGATTATGGTGTTCATATTAACCCTCATGTAACTGATATTTTTTGAAGTCTAGTTCAAATCAAAGCACAATAATGGTCATATAGAAACAGTTTTATATCTAGTTTTCCAAATCAGTGTACTTAATTTGAATAATATAATAAAGTAATAATGTTATTTAAAAGGCTAGCAGTTTAATTCTAAAGATTATATGTATATTTTTCTTTTAAGAAGACTAATATGAATTGTTTTACTCCTTTATCAGTATGCAGTTTATAATTCAGGTAAACTGTAGGCATTTTCAAACTTCTTTTAGTATATAAAACATGATCATAATTTATTCAATTTGCTGAGAAAGTATAACATTTTCCCCATAAGGGCATGGTTGCATATTCAACCATAACACTATATCTCCCTTATGCCCTTTATTTTCCTGACAGGGTGATATTAGATCAATGCATTTATTGTTGCTATTCTGCCTGTGCCTGAGTTTGTGAATCACTCACTCATATCAATAATTTGAGTTGAATATTTATATAGGTTGAATATCCTTAACCTGAAATGCTTGGGATTTCACATTTGGGATTTTTTTGGATTTTGGAATATTTGCACTGTACTTACCGGTTGAGCATCCCCAAAACCTAAACCTGTTTAATCGTAGGACAGCATAAAACACTGCCCAATGAAGAACCTTATGAATAATTAACCCCTGTCCAATGGTAAATACCGGAGGGAAAATATCCCTAAAATTAGATAGTGTTTTATAATGGTTTTTTGATAAAAATTTATGTCACAGAAATTATGACAAGTATTCCTACTTCTGCATTTCTCCATGTACAAATTTGAGTTAAAGCATTTATATTATGCAATAATTGTACATTATTTAGTGTTGGGCTTTGGAAAACTATACCCCCACAGTATGGCGCTTTGGCATGCTGAATACTTTGATAAAGGAGATTAGAAAACCTCAGAAGCAAAGTCTCTCTGACTTTCTGCCATCCTATCTCCCACCCTTCCTGGAACTCTTCCTAAGTGAGTCATAGAAACCAGAATTCCTCTTCCTCAAGGCAGGTCATAGAAACTAGAACTCCTCTCCCCTGAAAAAGGTCGCTCTCTTCTTTCTCCCTTGCAGACCTTCATTGCAGAGGGGTCCTGAAAGGAAGGAATGCTACACACAGAGACCACGAGGTCTTGCTGGGTTCCTCTCCACCCCCACCAGTCTATTATTAGATCATACTCTATGTCCAATCGCATTTCTATGCAGCTGTCCATTCTTCATGGAAACTAGGCATAAAAATAGACAATTTTCCCTGTGTCTTTGAGTCTTCATTTCTGAAGGTTCCCATATTGTGTAAAACTTTGATTAAATAAATTTGTTATGCTTTTCTCTTGTTAACCTGTCTTTTGTTATTAGGAGTATTAACGGTGACCCTTATTACAACGGGTGAGAGAAAGTGTCACACCTTTCTGCCCCTACATTAGTTTCTAGGTGATTAATATAAAATTAATCAATGGGAATTAAGAGATCTTCCTACTACTACTGACCCTCCCATTCATTATAGGTGGGTTAAAAAAAGCATTGAAAATCATAATTTTGGTGACCTACCAACATAGAATTAGAGTTTTGCTTTCTAATCAAAAGAGTGAATCACGGGACTGAAAACAAATTCATTGTGTTTTACTCTGTTTTAGTTTGTTGGATGAGCTCCCTGAGTCAGTGCTAAAATGGGCTCCTTCTGGAAGCAGTTGCTGTAAGTCAAATGATAACTTCTACCTTCTTTTATGGTTTACAGGTCACCACATTTGTCACTCTTATTTTGTAGCTTTTGCTTAACCTACCCACTCCTATTCCCATCAGGGTAGGAGGAATCTCTTCAGGGTTGCAGATAGTTTGCTAGAGAAGAGAATGTTTATTTAGATCATCTTTGACAATAGAACACAAGAACCCTAAAGGAAAATAATTAGGTAGAGTTCTAGGCTTTACTGATTGTATTTTTAAAAAATATATATTTGAGAATCATGCGCAGGTTTAATAGTCAATTGTATCTGGTGTTTCTAGAGTTAAGACTTTGGTTTTGTTCCTTAATATATTGTTGAAAGAAGATAAAGTTGACCTAAGGAAAGATTACTTTCAATCAGTAATTTAAAAAACCAAATCATTAAACACTTGAATGCTGTTTAGACTGAATTGCCAGCAAAAATTTTTTGATTAGCAAGGACATATGATTTTGGGATTTGGAGGTGTATTTCATAAATGGTTTTCTCTTTCAAGTTAGTATAGAACTTTTTGAAATCCTTTAATTGGTAATGTTATCAGTATAAAATAGTAAGTCAACTAGGGAATTACCCAACTTCCTGTCATTTGTATATGTATGCCTGACACATTATTCAGCACTAATTTAAGAATTGAGTTAGATTGTCTTATAGGAAAAAAGCCAACTCCTGCTGCCAGACTTGCTTTTGCTCAGAGACAAATAAGCACAGTGAATCTTGTTTACATTGGGCAATCTCAAAGCTAGTTTTTAGTTGACTTCTGAAAGTAGATATGTACACTGACCCTCTCTAGCAAGGCCAAAGAGCATTAGTTTCTGTCTGAGAGTTGAAAAGTAGAGTTAAGTCATCTTAAATTTATATTCACAGCCCTTCTTTAACTAGAAACCAGAACTTTCATTTGGATAGGAAGTAAAAGAGGAAGAAACAAGTTCTGTTTCCCACATCCATTTCAGAAGTCCCATAAGTCTGTCCTATTGTGATTCTTTTGCTTTCCCCTTTCTGTAGTGCTTTTCTTCTGATGGAGGCCACCAAACAAGGGAGAGATTCTTATTTGGAGAGATGGGTTGAAAGATGAAAGTTTTGCTTTTGTACCTGCATTAAATAACTTGGTCAAAATGACAATATTGTTTTTTGGCTCACACTCTTACTGGCATTTTTACCAAGTCTATGTTTTAATAGAAAGACAGAAAGAGAGAGAGATGGGGAGATGCCATTAATTGTTTTAATTATATATCTCCCTTACCTTTCTTGTCTCTCCTACACAAAAGATAACTGTTCAATTTAGGATTAGGAAAAAAAACCTGATTCTCTGGATTGTACAAGATAAATGATTGTGGGCCAGTGTACATTGTGTGATTCTTCTATTGTTAGAGATGAGTTAAGATTTGAGTTAGATGAGAAATTTGGATGGGAAAGACAGCAAATTCTCCTTTCTCAGTACAAATCTGAGTCTGTACTATTACTTATAAAATGCATATTTCTATTTCTAAAGCACAAAATAGTGAAACTTTAATATTAAGTGATAATCTCTTAAATTAGGAGGTTGTGCTTAGGAAAAGCACACCATGAAAATTAAAGGAACTGATTTACAAAAGGTTTATTACTAAGACATTTTATGAAATAAAACAGCCAAGAAGTTTGCAGCATGTATGTTCAACTCAGTGTAATAATAGTTTCAAAAGTTTCGAGGCCAGGCATGGTGGCTCACGTCTATAATCCCAGCACCTTGGAAGCCTGAGGCAAGAGGATTGCTTGGGGCCAGGAGTTCAAGATCAGCCTGAACAAGAATGCGACCGCATCTCTGCAAAAAATAGAAAAATTAGCCAGGAGTGGTGGCATTCACCTCTAGTTCCAGCTATTTGGGAGTCTAAGACAGGAGGATAACTTGAGCCCAGGAGTTTAAGGTTGCATTGAGCTATGATGGCACCACTGCACTCTAGCCTGGACAACAGAGTGAGACCCTGTGAGTCTAAAAAAAAAAAAAAAGTTTCTGTCTCTTGAAATCATAGTAATAATACTTAATATTTCACTAGCTTATAAAGCAGATGATTCAAGAATATCATAATTTCATCTCAAAGCATTTTGTTTTATAGCTCTGGAAAGATGCTAGTAAATTTAAAAATGTAGTTAATATAATAAATCCAGATCTTGAAAGGCTAACATTTAAATCAGTACTACATCATAATAGTCTAAGATTCAGGTTTATAATAATAAATTTATAATGTAGGTGGCTCTTTTTATTTTCTCCCTTTCCTGCCTCATTGGTACCTCATTTTTCCAAGCCCCAGTCCCATGAAGGCTTTGCAGCACAGCTGCTATCAGTTGGTGGAGTGCCAGGAGTTTTCTATTGTCTTGTAACAGTGATTTGTTCCCAACATAGTCAGCTCTCTTCTCCATTTGGGACATTCTGGTAAATGGAATTGTAATATATACATGACTTGGCATACCAGTCTTCAAAGGACCAAACAACAATATTTATATTAAAATGGTAGTGAATATCATTTTTTTTTTCATTTTGATCATCCTTTTAGGAATTGGATGCTCCCCCAAGGAGCGCCAGGAAACATCAGTTATAAATGTGGTGATAAAGCAATAGCAGTTGCTGGTTAACAGAGATGTCGTTGACTGAATGCTAGATAACAGAATTTTATATATCTCATAAATTAGAGAGGAAAATAGTAGGTTGCATAATTGTTATAATGTCCAGGGGAAAAAAAAGCCCAGAGACAAGAGTTCTCATATTAACCACATTTGCTTCATGTTCCTGGAACATAGCTCTTGACTCTATGTTGTAAAATGGTTACTCTAACTTTAATAGGGGAGAAAGGAATGATGACTATTCCTTTTGGAATTTTTCCCTATAGGGAGTGAAAGCCAATGCCTCTGAAATTCTCCTCTTGAATGGAGGTAGGCCTGGAGGGGAATTGAAGGATTAGGAAATCATTTCTGCCAACCCATGAAGCTTCCCAGATTTTTCCACTATGGGATATAAACAACTAAGTGAAAAAATAAGAGGTACTTGTATTTAGGTCAGTATTGTTTTAGAAGGATAAAAGCATATCTCAACATATCTATGAACAAATGAAAACAGGCCAGTTTTTAAACAGTATTTAGTATTATCACTACTTCTATCCCAATATTAGATTGGATTGCCACCTGAAACAAAAATGCAAACTACGAACATTTTAATGCAACTATGTTTGTAACTTTTGGTTACTGATTCTGCTTGTGTTTTAAAGTCGGTAGTTCATAACCTTTTTTGGAGCAGTGAGGTTACTATGTAATTCTAGGGAAACATTTAAGTTAGAGAAAAAATAAAAGGTGGCAACTCCTTACACTTCTGGTCTAAAATCAAGAAGACTTGTGAATGTACCAGGCTAGCTGGGTATGGGACATTGAGAGAGGTTTCATGCATTCTGAAATCAATCATAGCAATATGGAATTCAAGGTCATTTCTAAATAATACTGTTATAATCCCCAAATTAAAGCCTTAATTAAAATTTGCAATAATTTTTTTTCTTTGAAGTAAGGAGGGTTATAAGTAACACTTTTTTTAACTGCACGTGGATAGTCTATTATATTTATGTAGTCTTTAGTAGCACCTCATAAATCAAAATCACTAAGTATAATTATTAAAATTTGCGTCTCTCATAAGATTAGTGAATTGTAAACATATCAACAAAGATGTAAAAGAATTACCAGTTTGTCCCATCTTGTTAAATCTGTACGTCAGTATACTTCATTCACTTTTGAATATCATTTTAAAAGTTCATTTCATTCAGTTGTTTGTTTTTAGTTTCTTCAGGATGTGTGTGTGTAAATGTGTAAGAGAAAAAGGTTTTGAGATTATTGGAATCTTGACAATTCTTGCGAATTATGAGTGACGTAAAAATTTTAATATTTCGCAGGTGAAATAGCCCAATTCTTGGAAAGTGCTTATCATTTAGCATATGATGAAAAGCCAAACTATCAAGTGCTCAAGAAAATTCTGAACCCAGGTGCAATACCTTTAGGACCACTGGAATTTTCCACTAAAGGACCGAGTGTAAATGTGCCTACTCCAAACAATCAAAACGTAAGTAATGTGATCCCTGGGATCCTTTGTATTTACCTCTATGACACTTTTCTACTAAATCAAGTTGTTTTAGGTCTCAAAATGAATCTGACAACTAAATTTTTTGTTCCTTATATTTAATTCCTATTTCCCCCAATTCAGCACCAAGAAAGTTTGTCGAAAGTACTTTTGACCTATCATCTCTTAGAGAAAAATAGTCATAGAGCTATGACTAGGGTAAGGTTAAAGGCTAATGCAACTTTAATCATGAAGGCCTTTATTTGCTTCTTTTTTTCAGTTCTCTTTAGGCATTCTCCTCTGTTTTCGCCTACCAGTTTGACCATGATTTGATGGTGATAATAGTCTTAGATTTAACCAGATTATTTTTATGCGCTGATATTTCAATCTGTGGAAACAGTTCTTTAGGAAATTTAAAGTTACATCTCTTCCTTTACTCTGCAGTCTCCCAACAAACTCCCTCACACTGACTGAAAAACAAAGAGAGAGGAATCAGAACTTAAAACAATACAAAAGAATTAGAACTTCAAACATTTTTAAGAGGGTGGCAGAAACCTGAGACCACAGTTAGCAACATCACAGGACAGGCAACTAACTGTCTGTTTTTTCCTTGACACTGTCCATATGGGAAAAAAAAGTGGAGGGCATTTTTTCCCTGGTACGTGTACAATAAGGTAGGGTCAGGATGCCATTCATTTTTAATATACTTTATGAACTTTGGATCATCACAAGTGTTCATGAGCCAAGAATGCAGGATGCAAACTAATGTGACTGATAGGCTGCTAGATGAATGGTGAGTCAAGTATCAGTGCACAGATGGTTCTGATTTGCTGAATTTTGTAGCTGCTGCAACTGAAGACATAAAATATCCTTCTAGTCATAAATTAGCTCTTTGGAAGCAAAACCTTGGCACCAGAGCTTTACAACCTTCAATTAGTAGGAAAAGAAGTATTTGAATGACTGTGGTATTGACATCTGTAGGCCTGCATAGTAATCATTCCTAATAGAAGAGAATATCTGTTTGAGGAGGTTTTGCATGGCTAATTAACTACCAGTGAGAATATGTAATTTTTTCATGATCTCCTGATTGTCACCTTTCTCTCATGATACAATTACATTTTATTGTAGTAAGTGCCTTACAAACCAATTGTCAGCACTATTTACGTATTGCAGAAGGCAGAACAAAAGTTCATGTTTAATAAAAAGCCACTGGATTTTGATCTTGGTAATTACTAGACTTGTTTTAACAGTTTTATTGACTTTTGTGTTTTTATCACTTTTGCAACAAAACAAAGAGCCATTTCCTTGACATAATATTTCCCTTGCAATAATGGTCACCACTTAATCTACGCTAGTTTAAGTAGGGTTTTTTTTCTTTTTTTGTAGTTTTTCAGTTTCATAAACCTAATTGAAATATAAAAGAAGCCATTTTAAAAACTGATAGTTATATCCCCTGATATAAAATTCTAATTATTATCCACCACAATTTTCAGTTTCATCAAACTCAAAGGGTGTTTGTTGTAAAACTATTTTTATATGAAGAGAATACAACATAAAACATTTTTCCAATGAGCTTCCATCAAAAATATTTTATTCCTTTTGATTAGAGCATTTTGATTATGAGTAAAAGGAAACACTTAAGAATTATATGCCTTCTTAAGTCTTAATTTCTGTTAACAATGTGATCAGCTTGGATATGTACACGGATAATTTGGTGATATATATCACAGTAGATCGATATTTATTAATGATTTTATTTCTCTAGTATTTTTAAGTGCACAAATATATTTAATAATAGTAATATAAAATTTTGGCTCACTGTATATGGGCTAAACTTGAAGTATCTTAATTTTTATTTTTAAAATTATAGATTTTATAATGCTACTAAAACCAAACCTGAAAATGTTCAAAGTATGACAGTTTAATGTCAACTCAATTCCCCTGAATGATGCCAGTATAAGTTTATTTCCACAAGAGATTGCTTCCATAACAAAATTATTCCAGAATGAATAATCAACCACATGCCTCCAAATTTCTCTCTTTTTAGTCACAGACAGAATCCCCTTATTAGTAACTAAAAACATTTCTTGTTACTGTATACATGGATCACTTTAGTTATTTAACAGACTAGTGAGTGAACTCTGGACTGGTACTTTAAGTGGACAATGATACTTAAAAAGGAGACATTGGACCACAAAAGGTATACAGATATAGGAAAAAAATACTTCCAGTATTCAAAGGGAAAAAAGTTATGAATGTTTAAAATTTTTAAATGTTATTTTGCTCATTATAAGTGAAAGTTATACTGAGGGAAATTTAGTATTTTAAGAAAAAATACCTTTTGGTTAGGTACACATCACCATAAAAATCTCAGCAAACATCCTCTTTTTGCAAAAGAAAAAGGTGTTTTTCAAATTCTGGATTTTACTAAGCATCATAAATTTTTCCCTGTAAACTGAGTCTTCCTTTTGAAGTTCTTGAATACTGTTACTGATTGAAAATGAATTTTTGTCAAGATAGTAGATATATTGATCTTTTTCTTGACAAACAAATCTTTTGGGGTATTTGCCTGAATCGGAATGATGGTATGGATAGCTGAAGTCACTCGGGGGTGAATATATTACTATTGGTAGCAGTAATATTTGTATAGAATTTAACAGTTTACAAAATTCTTTCCTGAGTTTTAATTCTCAAAATAATTCTGTGAACTTCTCTTCATGTTTATTTTCTATATCTGAGGAAAGTAGAATACAAGTTCTCAATTAGAAGCACATTTTTGTTTTATTAATTTTTAGGAGTCCAAAAGTATTCCTGATTTTATAGAACAGTGTGAAGTTCCAATGGAAAATTAAATAAAAACTACCTCATTTGAATAGCTTCTTTCTTGAAAATGACACATAGTTGGATAAGATTATCCTTCCATTTGATTATGTGGGATGCCTGGGGTATTTCTGTATTTACTTTTATATCTCTGAGAAAAGGAAATTTTCAAAGTGTTCACAATTAAGAATTAAACTTCATCATCCTACTTCACTCTTACCATTGTAAAAGTTTCCCTAGTAATAGAAATTTTCCATAAATTAGATATCATTTTGTTTATTAGCTACAAGTGGCCATGGCAGTGCAACCTAACCATTCAGCCAACTAACAGCAGATCTAGGAGGCATAATCTCTTCCAGGAAGTCTCACAGAGGACTGAATTTATTATACCAAATTTTGTTTATATATCAGAGGTTTCCAGGAAAAAAACTGTTATATCCAGAGTTCATAGCATATAGGAGGCACTAAAAATCTCAATAATATCTTAACTAAAAATAGAACTACCATATGATCCAAAAATCCCACTTCTGGGTATATATCCAAGGGATATGAAATCAGTATGTCAAAGAGATATCTGTAGCCCCATGTTCATTGCAGCATTATTCACAGTAGACAAGATATGGAAACAACCCAACCTAAGTGTCTGTTGGGTGAATGGATAAAGAAAATGTCAAGTGTACATATACATACACACACACAATGGAATATTATTCAGCCATTAAAAAAAGGAAATCCTTCTATTTGCAACAACAAGAATGAATCTGGAGGACATTCTTCAAAGTAAAATAAGCCAGACACAGAAAGACAAATACTGTATAATCTTCCTTATATGTGGAATCTATAAAAGTTGAATGCATAGGAAGCAGAGAGTAGAACAGTAGTTGCCAGGGGATGAGAGGGGGGAGAAATGGGGAGATGTTAATCAAAGCGTTACCAGCCTCCAAGTGGAGTTTTTTCAAGTTCTTGGTGTTCGTGGGGAAAAGAATTTCAGGATACGCTATGTAAGCCAAGCAAGTGACAGTTTTTATTTAAAATGAAAGTATACTCTTTGGGAGGAAAAGTGGGCAAGCTTGAAAGAGAGCAGCTGTACCAAAAGGAAGTGGTTTTAGTTTTTTGAAGTCTTACTAATTAAAGGGAGGAATATTCAAGGCCAAGGGGTTGGCTTTTACTAAGACTTTGGGTAGTAATTCCAAGAATTGGGTTCCCTCCCTTTTTTTTTTTTTTTTTTACTTTATATGGTTCTCCTGGGACTGTCAGAGTGATTTCAAGGGTGAAGAAATTTTAATAATACAATGTAAGTGATATTGTGATTAGCCAAAGTTCATGTAAGGTGGCAGAGATAGCTGATGAGCTAGTCAAAGCCAGTTTTTGCCTGCAGTTATCAACCCCTCTAGTTAGCTTGCTTAAGAGTTGTTTAACACCTGCACCTAATCTTCAAGTTCCTGCGTCTGGTCTCAGTCCTGTCTCCTAGTTTCCTACTCTTAACAAAAGGGAACAAACTTTCAGTTGTAAGATAAATAAATTCCAGGGGTCTAATGTACAGCATAGGAACTACAGTTAATAATACTGTATTATATTCTTGAAATCGGCTAAGAGAGTAGATTTTGGGTGTTCTTACCACATACCAAAAAATGGTGACTGTGTGAGGTGACGAATATTGTGATTAATTTGATTGTGGTAATCATCTTACGATGTATACATATATCAAAACATCATGTTGTACACCTTAAATATATACAATTTATATTTGTCGATTATATCTCAATAAAGCTGGAGAGAAAAGATCTCAACGAATCCTTTATGACATAGAACACATTTTCACAATGATTGGTAAGCCAGTATTTTAGTAGGATGAAACTGTGCAACAACCTTGGGAAACCCTTTGTTTCACACTAATGATATGATGTGCATTTATTACCAAGATGACTTCAGTGGAAGAGTGGCTCAGATGATGGTTACATATCAATTTTCCCAGTAGTTTGGGAGGGTTGAGTGGTGGAAATAAAGAGTCCCTGCATGATTAGGAAACATTTCCAATTTGCAGGTTACTGAAAGGCAGTAGTTTTGCCATCCTTTGATAAGCTGGGATCCTAGAGGAGGGGCAAATAAAGAATGGTGTTTTGACAACTTAGACCTAGCCACAAAACACCAGCATATTTTAAAGAGAAGGAGTGAACACACTTGGCAATAGAAGCTAAAAAATTGAGAGACTACCAATTAAGGCTCTGCTTGCCCAGCCAATGTAATTCACTCTCTGTTTTGGCACTGGCTACTCCATTATTTCCCCTTGTGCCGTTCCTACGTTCTGCCCCCTATTTAACCCACCAAAAAAAGGTGATGGCACTACAGCTGCTGTAAACATGAAGCTGCTGAACAAATACTTCACATAAGGACCTTCGCTGTAGCTTTCAATCTTCCAACTGTATTGTGGGATCTGCCCTTCTATTTCCCTGTCTACTTCAAGGTTATTGAGAGTCAGTGGTCCCCTAGATATCACCATGGTGTGAAAAAGAAACATTAGAGACCACAAGCTTGTTGTAGAATTTAACCTCTGGTACTGGTACACAGTATCTGATGGCATGAACTGTTACTCCTCTTGCTCCAAGGTTAAACTACCTGCACAAAAAAGTAAGCAACATCACAAGCTCCTTTTATACTTTCACAGTAATTAGGCTCACTTTAATGATAGAAAACTAAGATTTTAATTAATAAGAATTTAAACTACAAAGATGTACTGGATCCACTCCCAGCAAAGGTTAATAATGAATTCATGTGCAGTTTTAAAATGTGACAAGTTTCTGTAAAAATGCCGTTTTCAGTAAGCAAGTTATCTGTAGAGATAATTTCTAAAGTGCATAACAGTGACACTAATTTTAATTGGTCTTGTCCCATTGATGAGAAAGGGTCTGGATCTTGCCAACTACTATATTTTTTTCTACAATGTCCATTTGCTGCTTTCCTCTTTATTTCCTTCTTTTTTAAAGGTTGGCAAGTTTAGAATTTTCAAGAATCTGGACATGAATGCATTTTTATAAAGAAGTGTCAAAAGTTTTCCCTTATACATTATTACTTTGTACCAACAGGTTGATTCACAAAAGGCTGCAACAAAGCAAGTCAATCAGATGCAAAATAGGTTAACAGAAAAAATAGCCCACAGTGAGAGAAGTGCTGAGTCTTGTGCAACACGGAGGAAAGTGCAAAAGGAGGAGAAGCTCATTGGACTGATGAACAATGAAGCAGCTCAGGTGAGAGGGGCTGTTGATTTTTTTTTCCCCTTAATGTTACATTAGAATATGCCCTCCAGGAATAAAGACATCATATTTTCTCCTGAGGCCAAGGTTGTATGGTTTTGTTAAATGAGAAGGGACAGAACATCCTAGCCTGCTGATAAAATCAAAGCAGCCGACACCAGTTATCACAGAAACAGAACAGCAGTGAGCACATTTGCGTACAGATCTGATTTCTTTCTTTATCCTAAGAATGTAACGAAGTGTGCTTAAATTTCTTATGCATTTCTTATGATCCATTAGGGTCTCTTAACATATTCTATACTTTTACATTGGTTCCTCAAGTCTAACCCTTGCAATTAAATATAAGTGAAGTGTTTCCCTGTCAATATGGTTGTATTTTAAAATGATGTATTTTTTACATCATTCAGCCATTTGGGTGGATAGTGATTCACCTTTAGCAGATGACTCAATCAGGCAACAGCAAAAGTCCTTCCTAATCTAACCTTTTTTGACAAGAAGGAGAAGCATACAATGCATTTATATCTGTAATGAAAAAATATTTAATTTTGTCAAAATGTCCAACATTTTATATGATTTATACACTAGCATTTTCCCCAAATGATTTGAAGTAGTTTACAGTATGAAACTGGATAATTTAATACCCCACCTTGTATACCCTACCCCCAAGAAAAATTGATATATTAGGCAACTGGGATGTTAATCACTAAACTGAGCACTAAATTCGACTCCGAACTTCTTGGCAGCCAAGGTAAAAATTAGAAGCATAGTAGTTATACATTCCTCATCCAACCAGCAAGCATACAAGTTTATCTAAAGAGAGATAAGCTTTTTTTAGTATTATTAGGAATCTTTTACATTTATTCTGGTATAAAATAGTAGCATTATTTGTAGGTTTAAATTTATATAAAGGAGTCTGTTTCAAATGGGTATATTTTATAGTTCCCATTTATAAAATTAAAGACAAATATTGCTTGGTGACACAATTTAAGATTCTAAATCTCTCTAATTGAGAGATTCTTTCTGAACTCTTACTGTGCACCAGAATCACCTGGAGTACAGAGGTAGGGAGGTATAAAAATACCGATGCCCAAGTTTCCAGCAAAAATTGGATTTATTTTGGCTGAGGTGGCAATGGGATATGGATGTGTAGATTTATCACTCCAGAAAGTCCTTTGTTTCTTTCTCCAGTCAGCCCCCTTCCCCTGGAGGCAACCACTGTTCCGACATTTTGATTTTCATCACTAGATTACTTTTGCCTCTTCTAGAATTTCATATACATGTGGTCATACAGTATGCATTCTTCTGCGTCTGGCTTCTTTCACTCAGCCTGTTTGTTTGTATGTATGTATGTATGTATTGAGATTTATCTGTATTCATGCATGTATCAGTGACTTGTTCTTTTTCACTGCTGAGTAGTACTCCACTGTATAACCACATCATAATTCATGTGTCCCTTCTCCTGTTAATGGACACCTGGGCTGCTCCTATTTTCTGGCCACCAGGAATATAGTTGCTGTGAACATTCTGGCACAAATCCTTCTATGAGCATGTTTCATTTCTCCTGAGACATGGAATTGTTGGGTGATAGGGCAGCTGACATATAATTCTTGAAAGTGACTCCCACCAGTAATGTACAAAAGTTCTAGCCATTCCACTTCCTCCTCAATATTTGGTGTTATCAATCTTTTTAATTTTAACTATTCAAATATGTGCATTAGTACCTTATTATGGTTCTAGCAGTCATTTACCTCACATCTAATAATTTTGAGCACTTTTGCATGTGTTAACTAGCCATTCATATATCTTCTCTCATAAAGTGTATTTTCAAGTGTTCTGACCAATTTTATTTGGATATTTGTCTTTTTACTATAAAGCTGTAGGAGTCCTTTATATATTTCACATAAAACCCTCCTGTCAGATAGCTGTATTGTAGATATCCTCTCCTAATGTGTAGCTTGCCTATTCATTTACTTAATAGTATCTTCACATGAGCTTTTTATATTATTTGTTACTTCTATTGGAAGTTTATCATTTTTTTAATAGTATTTTTTTTTTCAGTAAAGAAACCTAAAAAACATTTGCCTACCTCAAAGTCACAAAGTTCTTTTGCTATATATTCATATAGAATGCTTATAGTTTTAGCTTTCATTGCTGGGTCTATGAGACATCTGAAATCAATTTTTGTGTATGGTGTGAGGTAATGGTTGAGGTTCATTCTTTCCCATATAGCTAGCCAGTTCCATATAACTTTATATTGCGGCATCATTTGTTGAAAAGATTTTCCTTTTCCTAATTGAGTTTCCTTGGAGCCTTTTTCAAAAGTCAGATAGCCATATAAGTGTGGGCCTATTTCTAGACTCTGTTTTCTTCTATTCTATTTGTTTCTTTTTACACCAACACCACACTACAATTACTGTAGCTTTACAGCAAGTTTTGAAATTAGAGGTATAAGTCTTTCATTCCTTTTCTTTCAAAAATGCCTAGGCCATTTTAGGTCCTGGTCTCCTCCATAAGATTTAAGAACCAGCTTGTCAATTTCCACCAAAGAAAGCATAATGGGCCTTGGATTGGTAGTACATGCAGTGTAAAGATCAGATTAGGGAGAAATGGGATCCCAGCAATGTTGTGCCCTCCAGTGCATGAACCTGGTACTTCTCTCCATTTACGTAGGTAGTCTTTAACTTCTCTCAACAGTGTTTTATAGTTTTTAGTGTAGACATCTTATACATCTTCCCTTAAAATCATCTCTAAACGTTTTTTGATTCTATTATATTTTTTTTAAAAAATTTCATATTCTGGTTATTTTTTGATGGTGGATAGAAATATAGATAGAAATATAATTGATATAATATAAAAGGCCTTGTGTCTTGGACCTTCCTAAATACACTTATTAGTTCTAATAAGTTTTTTTTTAAATAGATTCTTAGGATTTTCTACATAGTTAATCATACTGTTTGTGAATTGAGACAGTTTTACCTCTTCCTTTCCAACATGTATGCCTTTTATTTTTGTTGTATTATTACATCTGCTAACATTTCTAGTACTACATTGAATAGAACTCATGAGAGTGGCCTTCCTTGCCTTGTTCCTGATCTTAGGGGGAAAACAGTTATTCTTTCACTGTTAAGTTAGCTGTGGGTTTTTCCTAAATGTTCTTTATCAGGCTGAGGAAATTTTGTCATATTTGTTGAAAAATGAATTCAAGTAATCAATGAGCATTAAATGCTTTTTTGAAATTGATTGAGATGCTCATATGATTTTTTTCCTTTACTAGTGTGATGAATTACATTGATTTTTGAATGTTAAATCAACCTTATTTCTAGAATAAACATCTAGTCACGATATGTTATTCTGCTGAATTCAGTTTGCTGAATTCCAACTGAAATCCTGATAAATTTTAATTCCATAAAGGATTTTTATATCTATATTGAGGAGAGATATTGGTTTGTAATTTTCTTTTCTCACAACATCCTTGTATGGTTGTTTTCAGGGTCATTATGAGTTGGAAGTGTTCCCTCTGTTTTCAGAAAATGTTTTGTAAGATCTGTCTTTCTTAAATGTTGGATAGAATTTAGCAAGAAAACCATCTGGGCAGAGAGTTTTGTGGAGAAAAGTTTTAATTATGAATTTACTTTCTGAAACAGATAAAGTGATTATTAGGTTTCTTTTTCTTCTTGTGTCAGTTTTGGTAATTTGTGTTCTTTAAGGAATTTGTCCCTCTCATCTAAGTTGTCAAATTTATCAACACCTAGTTAGGATATTCTCTTATTATCTCTTTAAGATCTCCTATATCTGTGCTAATGTTCCTTCTTTCATTCCTGATAATGGTAACTTTTGGTTTCTTTCTTTCTTTTTTTTTTTCTTGATAGTTAGGGTAAAGGCTTATTGTTTTCATTAATCTTCTCAAGGATTAACATTTGGCTTTTCTTTTCTTTTTTTAATCCACTGGTGTTTTCTATTTCACTAATTCTTTATCCTTCCGTCTACTTATTTTGGGTTTATTCTTTCAAGCTTCATAAAGTGAAAGCTTAAATCATTGATTTTAAGCCTTTTTTCTTGTATAGAATATATAAAGCTATACATTTTTAAGCTGTGCTTTAACTGTATTCCACAAATTTTGATATGTTGTGTTTTCATTATTGTTCAGTTAAATATATTTTCTAATTTCTCTTGACTTATTCTTTGACCCATGGATTGTTTAGAACTATGTTATTTAATTCCTAAATATTTTTGAGCTTGGCATCTTTTTGTTATTCATTTCTAATCTAGTTTTGGTGTCATCAGAACAGATTCTCTATTATTCCAATCCTTTAAAATTCATTGAAACTTGTCTTATCCCTCAGCAGAAGGCCTAGTTTGTTGAGTGTTGCTTTTGTATACTTTTAAAGAATTGTGTATTCTGAAGCTTGGGGTATACTGTTCTTTAAATGTTAATTAGGTTAAATTGATAGTGTTGTTCAAGTCTTCTGTATTTTCACGTTTTTATTTTGTCCCTTTTGTTTCTTATTTAATGATAAAAGAATGTTAAAATATCAACTGTAATTGTACATTTGTCCATTTCTCCCTTAGTTCTATAAGTTTTTACGCAATGGATTTTGATGCTGTGTTATTAGATGCGTACAGATTTAGAACTGATGTTTTCTTGGGGAACTGTCCTCTTTATCATTATGAAACATTTTTCTTTCTATCTGTTCAGTACTCTTTGTCTTTAATTCTATTTTAATTTTTAACAATTCCAACCTTCCTATGATTAGTATTTATATGTTGTATCCTTTTCTATCCTTTTATATTTAATCCATCTATGTCTTTGATATCTGTATGTATTTTTGTAAATAGTGTATAGTCTCACTTTTTTATAAAATCTGACAAACACTACCTTTTTGATGTTCCATTTATATTTAATTATTGACATAGTTGAGTTTAATCTGTCATTTTGCTATTTGTTTCCTATTGTTTCACTTGTTGTTTGTCACATTTTACCTCCTTTCTGCTTT